GCCCGCAAAGGTAGCGTTAGAGTGAGGACCTCTGGGCTGTGAGGACCTCTTGGCAGCGTGAGGACCTCTCGGCGCCGTGAGGACCTCTCGTCCATATGCCAGGTAGCAGTTCTGCATCTACTCAAGACACCCAGCCTTGGCGCCCCCGGCCCTCTCGGAGCTCGCTGGGCTCCTTTCCACAAAGAAGCAAGATCATGGGGGTCTCGATAGGTCTCCAGGAGGGCGCGCGTACACAGTTTAGTCTGAGCGCTAATTGACTTCAAAGAGACAAGTGAAGAAGATAGCACTACTCCTTCCATGTTGTGCGAGAGTGATGGCGGCCATCTCGGATTCTTTTATCTTTGGAAAATTCTTTTTATCAGGAAATAACGGTCGGTGTGTGCAGTGTGGTCGGATGTTGCCTGATGGCGGACGCTGGGTTGGTGAGGAAGGAGGATATGAAAGGTCAAAGCTTCTCGTCGCCTCATCTACATCTCGCAACAAACGTAGTGAGCTCATTTCCCACAACTTTCCCCCTTCCTTCTATCGAAGTCTTCTAACAAAGTGAGATCATTCAAGATCAAATCTTCACCTCGCATACTGTGTATGTTATCCACATTTGTGCAGCATACACGAAGGATTGCGGAATCCAATCGAGGTATCATCCTATGTGACTTCAACATATCAAGTCGACAAGTAACAAAGCCTCTACACACCGAGCGCAAAGTTTCAAAGTTTGTGAGGACCTCTTGGTGGTGTGAGGACCTCTAGTCTTGGCAGCGTGAGGACCTCTCAACGACCATGAGATGCCTCGTGTGAGGGGACGAGGGGAGTTGAGAATAGTCGCGGAGCTGGCCTTCGTCAACGAGTTGAGTTCGAAGTCAGTTGCTGCGCGAGGTGGTTACCATATCGGTCAACCTATAATCTCAACCCATAAGATGTGGATCTCCCGCGGCCAGTGAGGACCTCGACCAAATTCCTTGCCGTGAGGACCTCTCGTCCAGGTGGCAGAGATCTGCATACTGTTCCTGAGGGCACTCAGCCTGCGCCCCAGCCCCCGGAGCTCGCTGGGCTCCTTGGAAGAAGCGAGATGGGGGTCTCGATCGGAGCGGTCTCGAGCAGGGCGCGCGCACACAGTGTATTTAGTTATGAGCGCGAGTTAGATTGGTTCATAACAAGAGAACAAGGGAACTCCTGCTTCCATGTTGTGCGAGTGTGTTGTGCGTAGTCGCACACCTGTCGTTGGTGGTCAGACAGAGAGAGATTTTTAGCAATACCAAAGTTTGTTGTTGTGGTCAGTGAAGATGGTCTCTGTGCAGCGCTCGGCGGAGCCGACGCGAGAGAAATACCCTTGATACATCGCTTGTCCCGGCGCTGTTTTTTGTTGTGGCTCCCTTCTTCAAATTCATTTTGGAAATTCTTTTCGCCACTCTCGCGGGAGTCGCTTAGGCGGCTCCCGTGGTGTACCTGTGTTAGTGCCAGTGCGAGCCTGTCCCGTGCCCAGTGTTGTGCGAGGGAGCTTTCTTGTAAAATTCTTTTTAGAAGCAGGTGTGAGCGCCTCGTTTTGGATCTCCGCGTATGTAAAGCCGCGAATTCTTTTTATCAGCAGGTAAGAGCGCGCCATTTTGCAACTGCTTCCCGCGAAGTAGCGTGCCCCTGGTGCCCAATCAAGGGCTTCGATGTGGCAGCTCGAGCACCTGAGCGCGCCCGGGGCGGAGCGGCTCTTCGCCGACTTCGCCTCGAGCACGGCCGGCGAGGCCTCGTCCGGCGACTGCGACGAGCCGCCGTTGCCGAGCAGTTCGCCCGGCGTCGCCTTCTGCAGCAGCGGCTTCTGCGGCGGTTCCGCGGCATCTGCGGTGGCGTATGCGTCGCCGCAAGGCTTCCCGAGAGGCGCGGCCGCGCGCTACGCCTGGCAGCCGGAGGAGGCGCTGGGCCTTGCCGCCGCCTG